GTATTATTGTTGTGCTCGGTAAATTTTGTAGACGAATTTAGGTAAACTTATTTTTTTATCGAAATTTCGGCATAATGGTTTGACCGATCTCTGAAAAACTATATTAAATGCGAAAATACCAGCAAAATCAATTTTAAGTGTGTACAGTCGAACGTATGGAACATCCCATAGCACATGCTTTTTTTTCCAAGTTGAACTTTATGAAAAGCGCTTTCATATCAAAAATCTTGTAAGCTGCTTCCATCTCAACCGCACTCGCATAATGCTTTCACAAAGCTGGACATTTCGGCCCAGGTGAGTCTCGCGCTCTTATTGTGATTCTGTGAGCTTATCAAGCTATTAATCACACGATAAGAAACTAGAACTACACAGAAAAAAAAAATTGCATTTTAATCAAAGCGTAACATCTCCCCTCGTTTAATGTTAAGCTATAGTCGGCAAAAACAACGAAATTGTTTTTATTTTTTGTGTTGGGTATTTTTGATCACTGTAACCAGTACTTACAGTTGTGTTCGATAAAATAGCAGCGCATGCCGATTTTCATACAAAATCTTCAATTTTGCCATGACGTAACTTCGTTAATGTATGATCAATTGAACTGAAACGTTCGCCAAAGAACTACAAATATGTTCAATTTTACGATTACAAAATATTAAATTTTTGGAAGCACCTGCCGGAAAGTGAGACACCAGGTAAAAGTGTTCAAAATAATAGCAGTACTAATGATTTTCATTTCAGCTTAATTTTGAGATTTTAAATTTTATATTTCTCAAAATTCTAACAATACCCACCCAATTAACAAATATACCTACATAATAATTAAAATTGTTTAAAATATTTGCAGCACGTAAATTTTCAAATAAAAAACTGCTATTATTTTGAACAATTTTAACTGGTGTCTCACTTTCCGGCAGGTGCTTCAAAAAATTAAATATTTTGTAATCGTCAATTGAACATATTTGAAGTTCTTTGGCGAACGTTTCAGCTTAATTGATCATAAGTTAACAAAGTAACATCATGTCAAAGTTGACCATTTTGTATGAAAATCGGCATGCGCTGCAATTTTATCGAACACAGCTGTAGATCTATTGTGATATATTCCCCGATTTAATATTGCTTTGTGTTCAGAGTCGTCATAATCGACACATGTCTTATTGAAGTTTTCCTATTAGCTCCGAAAAACGTGTAACAGCAAGTTTGCAATAGCATAACTTAGCCATTTCTTAATGAATTTCAAAAATTGTGGTACCTCTAGAATTCCTAGGGTCTGTAGATTATTTTGATTGTAAAAAGATTAAAAATAGGGTCGTCTACTTTATTCAAAAGCGAAAAGAGTCGTTACACGTTTTTTTAAAAGGAGTGTTTATGAGTTTTGCAAGTGGCCTAAGATCCATTAATTAGATTAATGGGCACAAATGTTCATAATTAGCCAGAATACAGTTATGGTTCCTATATATGGATCATATAGACAACAAAACGGTCCTCCGGAAGATTCGGAACATCCGTAAAATTGATCAATCCACGAAACTAATCATAGAGCTCCGCGCTTTTTTCGAAAACATTAGGAACTGTGATATAAGAAAAAAATTTGGGATCATGACATAAACACGGATCCGGATGGCCATGGAAGCGTGCCCAGGAAGATCCGAAACATCTGTCAAAGTAGTCAATCCATGAAACTGATCCTAGAGCTCCGCGGTTTTTTTCGAAAACACTAGTAACTGTGATATAAGAAATAATATAGGGTCGTGAAATTAACAGGAAGATCGGAAAGATCCTTAAAAGTGGTCCATCGATGAAATTGATCCTAGAGCTCCAGGGTTTTTTTTCAAAAACATTAAAAACTGTGATATAAGAAAGAATTTGGGTTCATGACATAAACACGGACCCAGATGGCTATATGACCATCCTCCGGAAAATCCGAAACATCTGTAAAAGTGGTCCATCCATGAGACTGATCCTAGAGCTCCACAGTTTTTTTTTCTCGAAAACACGTGGAACTGTTATATAAGAAAGAATTTGGGGTCGTGACATAAACATGAACCCGGATGGTTATGGAACCGTCCTTCGGAAGATTCGGAGCATCGGTAAAATTGGTTCATCCATGAAACTGATTCTAGAGCTCAGCAGTTTTTTTTTTTAAATCTCTTGGAACTGTGATATAAGAATGGTCGTTACGTAAACATGGGCCTTGATGGGCATGAGACCATCCTTTGGAAGATCTAGAACATCTTTAAAAGTGGTAAATCCATGAAACTAATGCTAGAGCTCCGCAGTTTATTACAAACAATACTAGGAACTGTGTTAAAAGAATAAATTTGGGGTCGTGACTTAAACATGAACCTGTATGGCCATTGAACCGTCATTAGGAAGATCCGGAACACCCGTAAAAGTGTTTCATACATGAAACATACTTCGAAAACTTCACAGCTCGAAGTGTTCTCGAGAAAACATTGAACTTCTAGAATCAGTATCATCGATGCACCACTTTTACGGATCTTTCGCAAGACGGTTTCATGGTCATCCGGGCTCATGTTTATGTTACGACCCAAAATTAATTCTTATATCACAGTTCCACGTGTTTTCGAAAAAAAACCGTGGAACTAATGGATCAGTTTTATGGATTGACCATTTTACGGATGTTCCGGATCTTCCAGACAACGATCCCATGGCCATGCAGGACCCAAAATTCTTATATCACAGTTCCTAATGTTTTTGAAAAAACTTTGGAGCTCTAGGATCAGTTTCATTGGTTGACCTCTTTTCCGGATGTTTCGGACCTACCAGAGGACGGCCCCGTGGCCATTCGGGTCCATGTTTATGTTGTGACCCCAAATTCTTTCTTATATCACATTTCCTAATGCTTTCGAAAAAAAAACCACGGATTTCTAGGATCAGTTTCATGGATTGACCATTTTCAAGGATGTTCCAGATCTTCCAGAGGACGGTCCCATGGTCTTCTAGGTACATGTTTATGTCATGACCCTTAATTAATTTATATATGACACTTCCACGTGTTTACGAAAAAACCTAGGCTCTAGGATCAGTTTCATAGATTGAACACTTTTACGGATGTTCCGGATCTTCCGGAGGATGGTCCGATGGCCATCCGGGTCCATGTTTATGTCATGAACCCAAATTATTTTTTATATCACAGTTCCTAATGTTTTCGAAAAAACCGCGGAGTTCTAGGATCAGGGGTTTATGGATAGACCACTTTTACGGATGTTACGGATCTTTTGAGGACCGTTCCGTTATATCCAGGTTCCATATATAGGAATCATGACTGTAATCTGGCTAGTTATGAACATTTGTGCCCATTAATCTAATTTATGGATCTTAGGCCACTTGCAAAACCCATAAACACTCCTTTTAAAAAAACGTGTAACGACTCTTTTCGATTTTGAATAAAGTAGACGACCCTATTTTTAATCTTTTAACAATCAAAATAATCTACAGACCCTAGGAATTTTAGAAGTACCACAATTTTTGAAATTCATTAAGAAATGGCTAAGTTATGCTATTGCAAACTTGCTGTTACACGTTTTTCGGAGGCTTCGTGGTCGGCGTAAAGTATTTTACCCACCGTATTCGGAGTGTTAATAAACCGTTTCGACTGTCTAGCAATGAGAGTGTTGTTCCAATTGGTCTCCACTTTCATTTTTTTTTTGGTATCTAAAGCCTGTTCGCGATCAAATCCGGACACACATTTACTAGTACAACTCGAGAAATGTTACCAATACCAATGTAATATACATATTATTTGGTGGACATATGTCTGTATGTTATTTGCTACGATTGTAGGCAAATTGTCAAAAATGGCGTCAAAAGAAGAACACGTAAGAAAAGCGATTGTGTGCGGTCGAAATAAAAATCCAGACTTATAAATCAGGGAGCTTGCAAAAAGGCTTGGATACCCTAAGAGTACTGTTCATGATGTTCTGAAGTCGTTTTATACTCGCTGTACTATCACAAGGAAGCCAAAATCTGAAGGAAAATCTGGTTTGAGGAACTACAAAATGGATGTAAAGGTAAAGCGTATATTTGAAACAAGTCCAAACTTATCTGTTCGTACCGTCGCTCGAAAAATTGGAATGTCGTCCACATTCGTTCATACATCAAAGCATAGACAGGGATTGAAGAGTTACAAAAAAAAACTGTGCCTAATCGCAACGACAAGCAAAATACAACTGCTAAATCACGAGCCCGTAAATTGTATCGTGATTATTTAACAAAATATGATTGCGTAGTAATGGACGACGAAACGTATGTCGTAGAAGATTTTAAGCAGCTACCAGGTTTAAGTTTTTACACTGCCATGCAAAGAAATGGGGTTTCCGAATATTTCTGTACGAAGAAGAAGTCGAAGTTTCCAAAAAAATACTTAGTATGGCAGGCCATTTGCAGCTGTGGTAGAAAAAGTCGAAGTTTTGTTACAACCGGAACTGTTACAAGGAAATATATCGCGAAGAGTGTTTAAAGAAGCGTCTGTTGCCATTTCTGAAGTCTCACGATTCGTCACCGCTGTTTTGGCCAGATTTGGCATCATGCCATTACGCTATCTAAAGATGTTTTATTGGTATGAAAAAAATGACGTACATTATGTACCGAAAGAGGCCAATCCTCCCAACTGCCCAGAGCTGCGTCCCATCGAAAAATATTGGGCTCTGATAAAACATGAACTGTCCAAATCCAAACAACAAGCTAAAAATATAGAAGATTTTCGAAAAGAGTGGAATAAATCAGCAAATAAAGTAGCAAAAAGGTCGGCCCAAACATTGATGGCTGGTGTGAAGTCAAAAGTTCGCAAATTCAGCTTGGATCCTCATTGATGACTATAAAATCGATTCATTTTTAATGTTGATGTACTAATAAGTGAAATAAAAATTACCATCACTAACAAATATTGTGTTCATTCTTGGTATTTCGATTCCTGGGTGTCCGGATTTCATCGCGAACAGCCTTTAATCCATTTATTTCATTGTCTTATTTCGCATCCACTAATCATAACACGGTATAATGTTAAACGCATACTTCCCCGGAAAGTCATCTGAAGAGCTACGCTTGATGGTATCGGTGAAGATTTTACCCTCGTTCCAGCCGTTCTTAAACTGCTCGTCCGAGAAAACAAACTCTTCCGTAAGGTGATTCCGAATTTTATAATGCTGTGACTGGCGGGTAAAGTACCACAGCGACCACGGTGTCAGGGCTGGCAGGGTAACCACCTCGCGGTCAGTCCATTTTACCACCTCGTTCGTTACAACCATATACTCCGACGACAAAATGTTCTGAATCACCAGCGGAACGTCAGCACTGTCACTAACGTTTTTCCACGGATAGTAGATCTTCCAAAATGCCGTATGCGGGTGGCTGGGCTTCGCAATCGTCGCATGTGCAACATCGTGATACACGAAACGATTTCCCCTGTCCAGTACATCCGCTGTGAAGAGGGCCCCTTTGCTATAGACACTTTTTATGTACACACAATTTGCGCCCGTAGTGAAGAAAGGAGCTACCTCTACCGGCACAAGTTTCTCACACGGGCATGAACAAAAAGTATAGTTCACAGGTTGGGCCTTTATGCCTGCGATGACTTCTATTGCTACCGATAGCAACAGAAGCGAACAGTACAATACGAGGTACATTGCTGCTTTGTGACCTGCAAGCAAATTGGCTCGGACTAGGACGGGGTTGAGGATTTGTAAGAGATTAATCATGCTAGGTGGTTATGATGGATCAATTTGCTCGTTTTCACGAATAAGCAAGCGGAAAGGCACGATTTGCGGATTTGCAAACTTAGAACGAATGAATTCGGCTACGCGATTTTAATTTTAATAACAATGCCTAAGATTCAGAGGAGGTACTGTATCAAGCAGTGGATGCACTCCCAAACTAAATAACTTCGGATGGCATGGATAACTTATACAGAAAAAAAATATTTAGAAGATCGTTAACTATAAGAGGTAGCCATGCATGATGTATATTAAAGCAGGTAGAGCGATCATATTCGTAAAACCGCTCAAATACCTATTTCTTTCTCTAAATAAGATATTTCCGTCGATGATGCTGCCTTTGGTCTATCTAAATAATGAAGAGCTAACTATGTCGGGCGTCGTTTGTAGGCCAAACGGATTGGATCCTGTTAGTCGGCAACTGTTCAATAAAACCCACAAGCATCCAGGATCTCGTTGTCGGCAGCCAAGAGATCTCTATGCCCCTAAAACTGCTATTGATCACCCTATGATATAACACATGGCCAATCATACGAACTCAGCGACTGAGATTAATTGACTGATAATCTATAAAATGGGAGCCACAGTGCTGCGTCAAAGTCAGCGTTGACAAAGTGGTTCGTCCGTCAAATGACAGGTGTAACGCATGTCAAGTTGCTTTTCGACCAACATCTCTTCTTAGCGATTTTCCATCGACACTGCGTCAGTCCGTCAAATTTGATCGGATTAAAATTTGACGCTGACGTTGATGTTGACGCAGCATTGTGATTCCGTTCCGCTCGGTGTCTTACGTTCACTTTGTAACAAGACGATAAAAAAAATCACGACCCCCGTGTCACGCATTTTCCCATACTTAATACACGTACTGTAATAAATTCTTGGTAGCATATTTGTCGCCCCTAAGAACCTTTAGAATTCCTGATAATCTGGTAAATGATATTTCCAAGTTGTAGGTATTCTCGACATCACGACATTAGTTAGCAGTATCATAGAGCGAGGTCTTAATTAACAACTGCGGAAGTGCTCAAAGAAGACTACTCTTGAGGGCATGTCGGCATGACTTAACAAGTCTTTGACTTAAGAAGAAATAGAAAGGAAGTATCAAAATCACTAAGTTGAGAGAATGAGTAGATTCTTTGTTTTGTTGACATTTTATTCCTTTTTAAAATACCGAAAAAATTCCGTCAGTACATATATATATATATATATTCATCATTAGGTCTAATTGTAACATCCCGCAACGTACCAGCCAAATTTGTCGAGATATAAACTTGAGCGATTCCGTTTCATAATATCCGTAAAGACTCTGCCTTCGTTCCATGCATGAGCCAAGCTTTCATCGGCCTCTAAAAATTCTTTCGACACATAATTACCAACCCTGTAGCCCAACCGGTCGCCGATATACCAATTCCATAAACCATGCGAAGTTAACTTAGGTATAGTTACCACCTCGTGGTTCGACTGCGGCACGACAACATCTGTCCACACTACAAACTCCAAGTTAAGAATATTTTGAATCACTTGTGGTGCAGCTTCTGGATCTCCGGTGTAATTCTTCCATGGGTAGTAGACTTTCCAGAATGCCGTGTGCGGGTGACGTTTTTCATAAGGCGGTTTCTTGTGTGTAAGGTCGTGATAAACTTGTCGTCTTCCATTGACCTGTTCATCCGCTGAAAACATATAGCCTTTGGCATAATGATTCCTTAGATATGTACAAGATGCCTTTGTGGGAAAGTACACTGCTACTTCTAATGGTTCAGCTTTCTTGCAAGGACACTGACAAAATTCGTAAGGTACTGGTTGTTCAGTTATGATTGCGTGCGTCAAAATAGCAACCGACAGCAACGAAAGAAATATGACGGCGTACATCGTTGCTCGCCACACAGAACGGATTGAAATGGTTTCGGGTGATCTGAAGCACTTATAAGCGGTGCGTCATGGTATTTAAAGCATATGAAATTCGCATTACAAACTTAAATTTCTTGATTCATGGATCAAGATGGATTAAATTTCCACGCGATAAGACCACAATTATTCTCACGTAACATTTGAAAAGGGCCTATCAACTTTTGTAAACAAAACTTCTTAAGCCCTTTCACGCGAACCAAAATACGCCCACGTAAAAACACCATCGGGTACGAAAATTGTTCCCTTCCGATAGGGGTCATAGTTTGCGTGGGTGTGAATTATTCTACACAAACACCAGTGAGATTAGAGCCGATACAAACACAAATACAAATATCACAAATTTCGATAAAATTTAACAGAAATTTCAACTACAAAACAGTCTATCATTTTATATTGTTTATGCGGTTTCTCAAAAATGGCATGAGAAAGTTTCCGATCTTCTTAAAATCATCAATGTCTTTTAAATTTAAGCTAGGAAGTGTGTAGGCCACTGAGTTAAGCTGCTCTAATTTTACCGAACAATAGTTGTTAAATAATCTAGCCGTTAGAGGTCCGGTAAACAAAACACTGATATCAAAGGCAAAATAAAAAAGCAGAACTGAAACATGATTCCTGATTGATAGACTAGTGACTTTAACATAAATGCCATTCATCACTTCCTTGATCTCTGAGGGATTTTCTTATGGGACTGAAATGCGATTGCTACTGCTGGGACTTGATGTATGTTTTATCTTTTTAAACATCAAAGTACTTGATTGTATCACACAATAGACGCCAAATTTATAATGAGTGTTGTACAATCGAAATTGAAGAACATGCATTTGAGACTTAACGCGATTGTAGACCGTAGAATAAGGCTGAAAACAGCAAATGTAAATAATAAATAATAACTTTTGCAAATTTCTATCCAGATAAAATAAATAGCGTAGAGTATATAAGAATTGACATGTCTTCGACAGACCAACCCATTTAGATATTCATAATTCTTATCATAGTTATTAATATTTGAACTACCCTCCCACTAACTTTGGATTTGGACTCTGCTCTGAATGCCTGAACCGTTCAAAATAACCGAGAATGACTAAAATCACGACAGCTGCGCGTTGTCACGTCACACTGCTCTTTTTATACAACGGTACCTACTCGTTCGGTGCAACTCATTGTCGTATGGTAGAAAGTGACGTCATAGTTGAGGAATTTTGAAGCATAAACAGGATGTAAAATTTTGCGCAACTACGGGTTACTACCGAACTGTACGGAACCACGAACACCCAACATAAGTAACCACACTGAACAAATAATCCACTACAGTTGACCACCTTAATAGACCAGGCTTTAGGAACTATAAAAAAAAAAAAGTTGTTTAAATTACTTACCAGCTAGTTGATCTTCGGTGAAATTTGTCTACGAAAAAGAAACAAAGAAAAAATGAAGAAGCAAGATTACACGAGAATACCTTCTAGCGATTTAAATTAAAGCCTAGAAGTTCTAATGGACTCAATCATTTGTTTGCTTACCATATTTGTGTGAGAACAGCAGATTTAAAAGGTAGCAATTTAATAATGAGCACTAACCCGGATTTTCGCAAATTTTACACAGTAAATCAAACGGATTGAACGCGAGCGAATCAGATATTCAGAACAATATGACAGACAGCCAGTGATGAATCAAACTTTCGAGTGCTTCGTTAAATTTCCAGCATAAAAAAAATCAGCCGAGGGACTGCCACATGGTGATCATGAACCAAGATTAGTACATGTGCGTCTGTGTCAAATACACCCAAAAATAGACTACGAAATGATAGGAGCTGGCTGAGTTTTTGGTAGGGAACATAAGATTTGACGTTTGGGCATGAATTGCGTTTGATCCACCAAACTTCAAATCTTATGTTACCTACCAGAAACTCAGCCAGATTGAGGCGGCCATAAGTGATCGTAAAATACTGGATTGATTAGTTGATCTTAGTTGGTTAATTAATGGCACCAAGAAATGTGCAAAATATTGCGATGCACTCAATTGGGTTGTTGAATTTTGAAAAACATGCCGGTTTGTTAATCTGTAAGAGCTTCGTTTTCTGAGCACTGATATATTTTTATCGGTCACATAGACATTCATCTTGATTTGTAAACCAAGTTTTAAATTGTCAATAAATTACATTCGATGGCATTAATATCCATTAAATGACAGTTCGCTCTATGGCGAGGGGCGCAAAAATGGTGATGCTTGAAAATGTAATCGCACTGATTTACCAATATTTCCTGAGCACCACAGTTTATGAAATTTTGAAATTGGGTTCCATTTTCAATGTAGATTACGAATATCCAAAAACCCCAAAACAACCCCATTATTATTTTGCACGTAAATCAACCCTAATAACAAAGACAAGACTGGCAACTCTTCCATTTTCTCAAACAACCAGCATGAGACAGGCACAATCGCGTCATCTGCCGCTCAAAGGTAAATGCTCCGAACGAATTGGATAGCAAAGGTTCTATCCCGGTCTACCAACAATCAATACGAAACTATCGATTTGAAATTGGCTCACTACTTGACTAGCATATTGGTCCCAAGCAAACGATTAACGTATCCCATTCTAGTCGGAATTCTAGTACTACACCATGTTTGTTTTGATTCTCTATGAAAGTTTGACAGATAAAATGAGGGGTTCGTGGATTTTCCCATGATTCGAGGGGTGCATCGATTAGCTTGGACCGAAGATAGTACCTGAGCTGAGCCAAAAAGTTGAGCACGTTTCTTCGGGACCTTCTGGTCTTAGAGTTACCTCTATGGTGCTACCATAGAGGTAACTCTAAGACTAGTAGGTCCCAAAGAAACGTGCTCAACTTTTTGGCTCAGCTCTGGTACTATCTTCGGTCCCAAGCTAATATATTCACCCCTCGAAACATAGAAAAATCCACTAACCCCTCATTTTATCTGTCAAACTTTCATAGCGAATCAAAACAAACATAGTGTAGTACTAGAATTTTGACTAGAATGGGGTACGTTAATCGATTTGCTTGGGACCTATAGGCTAGTCAAGTAGTGAGCCAATTTCAAATCGTCAGTTTCGAATTGATTGTTGGTGCTACCATAGAGGTAACTCTAAGACCACTGGGTCCCGAAGAAAATCATTATTATTTTTGGCTCACTCAGTACCAGAACAACGGTCCCAAGCAGTCCCAAGCTATTTCACTCACCCCTGCATGTTCTGCATGAATCCACACACCCCTGATGTTATCTGTCAAACTTTCATAGCGAATCAAAACAAACATAGTGTAGTAATAGAATTGCAACTAGAATAGGGTACGTTAATCGTTTGCTTGGGACCAATAGGCTACTAAAGTGGTGAGCCAATTTAAAATCGTTAGTTTCGTATTGATTGTTGGTGCTA